TAAGCATGTCGATAACACTACAATGACAAAACTCGTTAATTAGTGCACCTAAAAGTGAGCTTTTTTGGGTGGCGGATGGCAAGTTTTTGAATGGTCAAATGCCTGATGTAAGCCAAGCAGACCTTCTATCACCTCTTGAAACATACCACAAATTTTCCACAATACATGGCGGTTTGCACCACTAGTTGTAATTGAAGATTTCAGGCAGTCACGCGTCAAACGGGAGCAACACGGAAACAGCAGTCTGGTACGCTTTGGACGTTAGCATACTTGCAGACCGGTTTGAATGTGTGAGTTTAAATTAGAAGAACATTTGTGATGTATGGGTGCCCAAAGCGTGCATTTCTCGCTGTGCACTTGGATATATCATTGCAGACAAAGAGAGTAATGGAGAAAGAGAGCGCAAAAGCTCGCTCTCACTCTCTTGTCAGTTGTGAATCTCTTAATTACCGGTAGTTGCGCCGGTGCGCCTGTCAAAACTTATGAGCTTCCCCTGGCTTATTCTGATCGTGTTGTTCTGATGAATAAAGGGTTGATTAATTCATGTCTGCTGTCAGTCGAAAGAGTTAGCCTTTTGATAAAAACGAGAATTCAAGCTGAACATTGCATTAGGTCCTAAGTGACAGATTATCTCCGTCGACTTTCTCTGTGTATCTCCTCGGCCATGTAAAGACATTCCCAGGTATCTTCAGCACACAGATCGATAATGAAGAAATGGTTATGTGCTCAAGTTATTAACGAAATAGAAAGTCGACGAAGAGAATCGATCAATATTACTTAGGACCTAATGCAATGTTCAGCTTGCAATTCCTCCTCCTTCGGTTAGCGCGAAAAGGGTCATACAAGATTTGTTTATACAAGATGATAGACCCTTCAAATGTTAGGTTAGGTAGTGATTAATATAGTAATTGAGAATATGTCCCTCAAATTCATGGATCATTGAAAAATAAAACAAAAACTAATATGTGGTCGTAAACTATAACGAACTAAGTTTGGTTGGTGCACAGGTAAACAAATGAGGCACGCGACGCCTCTGGATTTTTCCAAGAAATTTTGAGTAAATTTTAGAATCAGTTCTAGAGATAACACCAAGGTATTTCCGATAGAATTTCATATGGAGTTTTTGAATGAACTCTAATAGAGTGTTGACTAAAACTCTAAGTCAATTGTGTGAGTTCAGAGTGATTTATTTAAGTAGCTCTGTGAAAAATTCCATGGCGATTGTGAAGAGGATTACAGGTTGCGTGAAAAATACCAAGGGTGTCGAATGTTGAGAGTGCAATCCTAAACGAATTATGCGAATAGTTTTATGGAATTTCCGAGGATAGGGCATCTCGAAAATAATTTCTACATAATTTTAAGGAGAATTCCAAGTGAATTTACGGAAGAATTTAGAGGAGAATTTTAAGATAATTCTGAGCAAAAGTTTTAAACAAATCGGATGTGAATTGTATGGAAATTCTGAAAGTAAATTTAAGCGAACTAAAAAAAATTAAAAAGAGCTTCAGTGAATTCTTCGAAAAGTTTAAAACTCATTTAAAATCTAAGAACGAATTTCCTGATTTTTTTATTGTTCTGCAGAGAATTTGTGGGCTGTTATAAAGAGATTTTCAAGGGACTCCCAGAGAGAATTTCAAATTTATTTTAGAAAAAATTCACAATCAAATAAAAGCCTCTAAAGTTTTGAACAAATTTTCATCGACAAATTTTGAAGATTTCGAACGCAGAATCAAATTCAAGATGCAGAAAAAAATCTACTTTCTTATTAATTTCTAATTTGCCCTAGTGATCTCTTCGGCTCAATCGCATTTGGTTTCATGCTTAATTTAAATATATCGCACAACCGGTAAAATTACCAAAATTTCGGGGGAAAAACGGAAAAAAATGCGATGGGTTGAGTATCAATTCCTTCAGTGACAATGTCAAAAAAATTTTTGTCAATATCGCGCGAAATCTTTCATTGACAGACAATGACAATTCTCAGCACTGGTGTTTTGTTGTAATTTCTGAGAAAAGTACATTTGAAGCTATTGTTTACAATTGACCCTTTTCACATGTTGCTCTAGAGTTGATGTACCAGCAGCCCAGATTTCGATAATTTGGATGCACATTAAGGTGGGTCAACGTAAGAACCCCCTGCTCACCACTCCTCTTTCGATCTGTGGTCCCCAAAAACCGTGCCAAATTTGAATAAATATGATTAAAATTTGGATTTACATGAGATTGTATGGGAAACGCAAAGAAACTGTTTAATTTGCTTTGTCAAAAATTATAATATTTCCTAATTTTGCCCAAATCTGAACTCTGGACGATCTAAAAAACCCTGCCTTAAAATAATCCTGCGAATCTCTGGTATGTCCCAGAAATTTCCTCCAAAATTATACAAGAATTCTCTCCAGAATACTTTTGGAATTAACTTTTGATTACTAATTCGCTCTAAAATATCCTAAGAATATCCTTCAAAATTATCTTTATATGTAGCATATTACATATAATTTGTAGGCAATCCACTTTAGTTAGTAGAATTATTTTTAATTGTCTTCAAATTATGCTCAGAATTGTGTGGGAATTTTTCTAGAGCTTGTTCTGAAAATGCTCTTGGAATTATCTCATAATTTGTTTCTAATTAAATAAAACCGGAAAAAAGGTTATCTTCCATTTAATTCCACTTAATTAATTTGGTATCCATGACAGATTCGTATTTCGACTACAATGTGCTGTCTTCATCAATGTCATTCCCACTAAAGAACTTATCAAAATCTAACCCCCAATTTCTAAGCAATTTCATTGCAACATGGAAAAGTTAGGATAGTTTTCTATGTGCTCCCTAATCTTTTATTCGTTGTTCTCTAGTGTGAAGTGGTTTATATAGATTAGGGCTCTCAATATCGGTGTCATTTTGTTGCCAAGGAGTCCGTTTTCGACTGACAAAGGGGGAGCTCATTTGAAGAGTGGTTTCACTCTCCGAGGGTATCAATAGCGGGACCTTACAACTAGAATCGGTTCTTTGTGATAAAGGCAAGAATGGCAACTGTGTCAAAATTTCATCATTTCTCAATGGTGATAGAGTAATACAACTAACACTAAACTAGATAGTGGGTTTATGTCCCGAACAATGAAAGCAGGAAAGCAAAAAATACCTAACTATTGAGGTCTTCTCCCAAATTGCTGTAAATTCTTCTCAGAATTACCATGGATTTTTAGTAACAACACGGTTTGAATTCTTTTTCTTTTCTACACAAAGACCGAGGATATCGTAGTTGCTACTCCGTTTCTGATCAGAACAAGTGGAATTCCCTTTGAACCACATAGATGGCGCTTGGAGATTAGCTTATCCATCTTCAATGTGCAAGTTCACTAATTCAAACTTTTATAGATCAGCACCGGCGCCGGTCACGTCCACACGGACTTTTGGGAAGGGGAAGGATGATTAGTATGACAACCATTGTATAGAGACCGTGTTTACCTTTGCGTCTCTACGATTGCCATCGGAAGGAATGTTGAATGTTGGGGCCGGGTCATTTTTGATCTGTGGTAAGTGTGATGCGATCGGGTCCGGTTAAGCTGATTTGTTTATTTAAATCTAATGGGCGGGTAGATAATTAGGCATAGTGATACAAATAAAAAGGAAAGGGACGGGCTTGGGATTGAACTCCCAAACTTCTGCTCAGTAAACAGAAACGGTCATCATAACCGGTTCTACACCTGTATTGAAGATTTATGGACTGATTCATGAGTGGGGCATACATACTTTTGTAAACAAACACGTCAATCGCCAATTTCTGGAGAATAAAGAAAAGGTCGTTAATAAATGAAATAATAATAAGAAGTATAAGCTCAATCTTGGAAACTAACAACATCAGGTAGAGGAATGATTCATCTACCTTTGGTATAGGTTGTTTGCGAGGTTTAGCTTTTATCCACGAGAATATGGCGATTGAATCAGTCTGGATTTATCTTGGTCCGTGGTCTTCAAAAATTGTCTATGTAGGAGTTAGGGTCTCGCTTAGCTCAGTCGGTAAAGGTGCAGCTACAAAGCAAGACCATACTGGAGGTGGCTGGGTTCGATTCCGTCCGGTCTAGGAATTTTTCCGGTTAGAAAATGTCTCGATTTCCCTGGGCATGATGCGTGGAATTTTGAAATAAAAATTCTGCAATATGTATAGACGTAGATTTGTTACTAGAATACGTTTTGATATTATTTTTTAGGCGCAAAAAAAAATCGAGTTCTCCGGCAAAGTCTTTTTTCTGCTCCTAAAAAATAATCTCAAAACGTATTGTACTACTAAATCTACGTCTGTACATCTTGCAGAATTTGTATTTTGCATTGTAAAATTTCACGCATCATGCATACAAATTTGTAAGGAAATATCCCATTTTTCGGTTGGGTGTAGTGTGCGCCAATAGAAGTTCCCGCGCCTGCTGCGTTGTTTTTGTTTTGTAGCTAATTCTACTGTTTTTGTTTTTGATGCTACAAAACAATCGTCGTGAAACTGTAGAAAGTGAAAACGCGCAACGACGACGACAATGCGGTGTATTTTTAGTTGCCCCTTAGTTCAGGACGTGCTGTTCATCATCGTCGTCATCGTCTTGCGAACGGCGATGGTATCGGGAAGCAGGCCAAGCTTAAAATCAAACTCTGGCAAACCAACTGCAGGTAGACTGTGGATGTGGACATTGCATGTTTCGACAAAACCAAACATGTTAGATCCTAATTTTCAACCGCAGGGCACGCATTCGCTATCAACGCAGTAGGCCAATCACAGCAAGCGAGCAAAGAATAGGATAACTAAATTTAGCAACATTTCCCATCGTCCGAATGTCTTTAAGTAATTTCTACCGAGAGCTTTGCAATGTATCGCTTGAAGGGTAGACACAGCAAACTAAAATAGTTCTATTCTTACAAACTTTTTTATTTTTAGATGCGGTATTTTATATATTCTATCTCGACTGACATTTCAACATTCTAATTGTAACTTTATCTTTCACTTTTGTTTCAGATGCAGTTCAGTCTTACATACGACAAACAGTATTTAAAGTAGCATTTCCGAACAAGGTGAGTTTATTTGAATTTAATTAATAACATCTGAAAAAAATGTCACCCATGTCTGTCTTTATGAGAAAGGTCCACGGGCTAATAGAATGTGACGAGAAAGCAGACGTGCTAAAAAATGCGTCCATCGGATTTTCTGAAGACGTTCGCCCTCTTGCATCTGTCAGTGCGAGGATTATCCGGGGACCTTTACCCTCTTGCAAGGATATCTTGTGAAGGTTGTGTATTATTGTTGCCCTGTCTTAACAAAAAGGGTTAGAAGCAGACACACACAGTTTATCAAGATAGGTATGTCTCAAATTACTATTTGCTGCTGGTGAAAGTTGATAGAAATTAGGTGATTTTTAAGTTATTATTGTAAGGATAACCACCCATCATTTATCAAATTAATATTTCCAAGGTTCCTTTGTTTTGTTGGCACGATTTTACGAGGAAAACTAGTTCAGATAAATTTTGCTATTCCGAAAAAAACCACAATTCCACAGCAACGGGTGACTTTTGCCCAGTGCCGAACAATACAAAAAGTCAGTCAATGCACAGTGGTCCAGAAGCCGTAATTAGGTGGAATAAATTGTTTTTGCCTAAATCATTTGTTTAAGGGGTATAGTGCCTTCGGGAAAGTTTTTCCATTTATTTTAGTCAATCTTGTAATGTTGAAGAAATTACAGTCGATGAGCATAATGATCGATAAACTTGTAGAATAAGTTATTTTATCAACTTTGCTGAAGGAAGCAATTTTTGATCTGAATAAAAAAAACTTCACAGTTTTCTCTCTGTAGGCGTATTATGCGAAAAACTCATTTGCGATAGAAACACTTGAATATGACGTATTTTTCAATGAAAATATGACATTATTAAGAATTTATCAACCGCAAGGAACACCATAAAAAGATTGGCTAAAATTAATTGAAAAAAATTCCGGAAGACACTATACACCTAAAGGTAATAATTTGTGCACAAACAGTTTATTCCAACTAAATTCGGCTTCTGGGACCATAGTGCAATGATGACTAACGATTTCAAAATGAGTTTTCAAACACTTGAAAGAATGTCTGCTTTTTCCGTTCTAGTATTAGCTGTCTTCCTACGTCCGTTCGCCTTGATGATGATAATGATGTTTGAAAAATGTGAGTGACAAAAGCTAAAGATGACATTTCTCTCAACAATTTCAGCTGTTCGGTTCCATTTTTTTTTCAAAGAAAAAAAAGAAAATGTCATTCAATCTCCCGCAAAGCAGGAGTAGCGATGGTCACACCGCGAACATCAATCGTCATGGGTTGCTATTCTAATTTTTTTCCCTCTTTTTTTTGTGTTGCGCTTGCTTAGTGATGTTTTGACACCAGGTCATCAACAACAAAGGAAAGAATCACCCCCAGCCGGGGTCAATTTGAAGTGGCCGTAACTGCTTATTCAATTTTGTTTTCTCTTGAAAGAAACACGAAGGGATATGATTATGCAACTTTACTGCGTGAGACGGAACAGCTGTTTGTGGCACTCCGAGTGATGAGTTAGGACTTTTCAGCAGCGATAAGAATTCCTGGAATCGATTGCCCAAAAACTAAGCATTGTTCGTGAATAGTATAGGTTGGAGTCAGTTGGCTTATTTTTCTGAGGACGAAAATATATTTGTCGTTTCCACTGGCCTCTATCTTGAGTCGTAGTTGATTTGTTTCACTTATTGAAACTTAACTCACAAACTGAGTTCATCCCATACTACGTTCATTACAATTGATATAGCCTGAAGGGCTGTTCATCTTTAACTAATTTTAGAACCAGATTTTTAAACTAGATATCCACGTTCATCTGCGGTCAGCGAAAAATATTATATCTATAACCCTCGGTTTCCCACCTCCAACTATTCTCGTACTGGATGGATTATGACACCTACACAGCAAAAAAATAATTTTGATATCACATCAAAGCGGACACTTCAATCGTGTCAAAAATATGGAGTAATATTGCTTGCCAAAAAGGAGAAAATTATCATTAATACAGTGCATGAACTGACATTAGGCTGCTTTAACTGCATTTGTTTATATGAGATTTTCGACATGATTGAAGTGCATCCTCTTGGATGTAATATTAAAATTTATTTTTTGCCTGTGTATGCTATGGCATTAGATTGATATCGTACACTTCTTGAATCGTAGATCCAAAAGTAAATAAAAAGCAGAGAACGTTAAGTGGTCGAGTAATTATTTGCCTGTTAATCATTAGCTTCAGCCTGGTTTTTTCGGTTCTCTTTCAGCAATAGAAAACTACACACGGCAGTTCCCGTTGATTGTTGTTGTAAGATTTCATTTCCGAAAATGTTAGCCGGAATTGAGCCGCACGACGGATTTACGAGGTACTGGTTAGAACAAGTCAACGACAGATTATCTTCCAATTTAATAGTATGTTTAACGCCGGTCGTTAACTGATAAAATGATTCTAATGACTTGATAGTCACTTTTCGACGGGATAATAAGTTTTTAAGGTTTTAATGTCTTACTTTCTGACTGCATATGGTGAGCAATAAAGTCACCCTTTTAGTTTGAGCAGCTGTCGGATCTATACAACTGGCTAAAGGGGATAGTGAGTAAACATTACAAAATCAACCGTCGTTTGATGGTCGACTGACTAATTTCAGTAGAATCCGATTTCAACCTGATGGACATGGTGTGAAATAGTGCAAACATAGCAGGCGCCGACAAGTTGTGCAAATGTCACACACTCACATACATGGATAGTTGCAGCCCGGTTTGAATTCGGTGGGATAAAAATGAGGTGATAAAAATCAATGGTTGCTTTGTTGCTTCGCTACAGTCACTTACGTCCGCGTAGTTGGAAGAGACTCGCATTTTGCTTTGACGTAATCACTAGAAAGCTAATCGTTTTGCAAATTTTGCACACTGTTTGCCGTCGTGGATTGCGTTCTCACTTCCTTTTTGCGATGAGAAACGCAAACTGAAATTGTGCACGATTCTTTTTTTTTTGAATTTCTAACTGGTGATAAGGTGCAAGTAGAATCACTTGATGGTTGTTTCGACACTTCCTATGCATGGATCAGGGTCATGAGAGCGTTGAAACGCTAGATAAGGATATACCTCGATTAACAGCAAATTACACAAAAGTTTCCATCATGCAACCATGGATTATGTCAATGCACCTCATGAATGTTGTTCTAGCATCATGAAAAATATACAAAATTTGTGAAGATTGTTTAAACCGGGAAAACCGGAAAAATTAGTAAATAATCGGGAATTTGGGAAGTACCCGAGAAAACCCGAGAATTTGAAAACTAACCGGGAAAAGCCGGGAATTTGACGAGAGACGGGAAAAATTAATAAACCTTGAAATATGGTCACTTGTTTTATTGTTCATGAATTTACATGTTAATGTTATTTTTTGCACCAACTTATTATAAATGTTGTCTGAAATCGCCATGATCAACTTTTCTGTAACTTTTCCCAATAGTTTAATATTGACGCATTAAAAATAATCAATCTTTTTTTCTCCTTAATTACCTTGGATTTCTAATTGTAATAGTCACGGGATTCTCCTTAAACTCACAATAAAATACCCTTGGAACTCTTCTCAAACCTTGGAATTATCTTTGGAATTCCCTTGAAACTCCCCTAAGAATTTGCTCGAAAGGAACCAAAAATTCTCAAAATGTCAAAGAAATCAAATATTCTCAAAATGTTAATCAAAGCTTTCCTCGGGAATGTTAGTATTGTAGAATATACTAGACTAGACTAGAAAACTCTCTTCAGGAATCCTCCTGAGTCGATTTCTTTTGAAATTATCCTCAGAACACCTATTCAGAACATGCATTCTCGCCAAAATTCTCTTGGAATTATTCTTAAAATTCACTTGCTATTCTCCTCACGATCCCGATAAAATTCTACTCAAAATCACCTAAGAATTTATCCTAATGTTCTTTTCACAACTTAACATGGAATTATTCTAAGAATTGCCAGGAAATCAATTAAGAATTTTCTGTCTTCTCCTTATAAATTCATTGAAATTCATCTCAGGAATTTATCTCAGATAAATGAGTCTCAGGATGTTCGCCAGAATGTTGTTGTGTTCATAGCGAAAGCAGTTTTACCGATACATACACATCCAACTGTCAAAGTTGCAGTCCCGTCATTATCAACAGCAATTTTTTTTTCCAGTCCTGGAGAAACAATAGTAAAGGAGTTGGTTGGAAATGCCAACATGAAGCTTTAGTGTGATAATTTATTAGCTAGAGAATGATCTTTAGAAGAGGGTAGGTGGATAGTTCCGCTAGAGCACGGCAGTATGAAAATTGAATAGAAGTTGAAAATGAGCGAAGGGCCATTAATGCGACAGTTTTTTGAAGATAGACGCACATCTTTTGCCTAACCCGTACGATGTACGCGGAGACTTGAAGTATGTCTCCAAGTCTAAAGGCAAAAAATGTGCGTCCTTCTTTTGCTCATAAACTGACTGCGGCTGTGGAATAGTTCTAGCGACGTTTTTATCACTACCTAAAGCCCCACGCTGTGAGAGCATTTCCAGTCGATGGTATGTTATAATGCAATTCTTCTTTACCCAACTATTGTGTTGCTCCTCTCGTCATGACCAACTTGGTCATCTCAGAGAGAAGGCTTACTTCAAGTCTCCGCGTACATCGTACGGGTTAGGCAAAAGATGTGCGTCTAACTTTAAAAACTGTCGCATTATTTGGGGGGTGACCCCGGCGTAGTGGTTAACATCCATACCTATCACGCCAAAGTCACGAGTTCAAATCTCACCCCCGGACAAGTCACAAATAACCCAAGAGTGTTAAAGTGACTATAAAAAAAAAAAAAAAAAACTGTTGCATTAATAGCCCTTCGCTCATTTTCAACTTCTATTCAATTTTCATACTGCCGTACTCTAACGGAACTATCCACCTACTCTCTTCTACAGATCATTCTCTAGCTAATAAATTATCACACTAAAGCTTCATGTTAGTATTTCCAACCAACTCTGAAAATCGCTAACTTCGCGTA